CCTCCACTGCCCCAGCGACGGCCGCTCTGGCGGTTTTCACGCACATCAACACTACACCCAACTCTGACACAACAACAGACACCACCCCTACAACCTCCGACTCCAGAGGTAGGACCAGGACTACACCTGCCCTCACTGCGACCGCACCTTCACCTCACACATTGGCCTGGTCGGTCACTTGAGAATCCATCGCACAGGAGCTGACGAACTAGCGCCTGGAGCACCAACCTAAACCCACCGCAGTCGCCACCACTGTCCACCTTGCCTCCGCACATGCACCCACCGCATGGGCCTGGTAGGCCACATGCGCACTCACGAGAACCTGCGGTAGACAACCGCCGGCTGAACCACATCATCGCATCTTCCCCCCTCCCTTCATCACACAACATCATCACCTACCACAAGCATGCCTTTGCCACCTCCCACGCAAGTGGGAAGTGTGCGTCTCGGTTCCGTCTCCATGCGGCTGCTCAGCTACATGTGTGATCCGAATCTGAGGCTATCACGGTGCGTTAAGCACAAAGACTTGGAAGGCTGAGACGCACGCCCCAACTTAATCCACGCAGTTTGCCCACTTGAGTGAATGTTTATGCGGGTTGGAAGGCTTGAGGGCTGAGAGTCAGACTGAAACAGCTCCTTCTAAACGTGACCCACGGCACTCTCACGCACATGAGATATACGTCGCTTAACCCTCGTTATGTGAAATCCTGGTCCTTGTGTTCGGGGTGCCAGGCCGTGCGTATGGCGCGCGCAGACAATGTCACTATATATGTCATCTACCGCGCCCATTCCCCACCACCTGTCAACTGTCCGGCTCGGAAAGCGACCGGGACCTGGGAATGGGAAGGGAGAGTGAGGTAGACGACTCAGCGCATTTTCCTCACTATAAACAATCTGACGTGCTTGAAGCTATCACGGTGCCCTAAAAGCCGTGGCTTGGAAGGTTGCCAACTGACGGGATAACCTGGATCTCGCAGTCGGCCCAGTGTTGTGTGTTTGTTTGGAGCGGCCAACTGGTGTTCTAAAAGTCAGGTTGCAATGGCTCCTTTTTAATGTGGCCTTTATGGAGTTCCTACTTCGTGGGATCCGAGCCAGGTGTGAGAGCACGCCTATGTTCGGCTCCGGCCGCGCAAACCATCCTTTTGTTGTTGGTTAAAATCCTGGTCACTTGCTCTGTGGACCAGGGGGTGTGGTGCGGAGCGTCAAGGTGCGGGCTCGACCGTGCCATCCACCTGCACTTCCCCCTGTGGTCTTCTTGATGCCGAGTCCAGGTTGGGGAGGAGGGGTGAGTGCGGTAGATACTACGCAAGTCTGCATTCACTATAAACTAATTTATGCGCAAATCACTGTCCCTGCTATCATCCTGCTGTGGAGAACATGGTGGACATCATCAGCAACGACGGTCGAACTGCTGTGTGCCAGGCAATGAACGCAGATTCCACCGCACACATGTTCGGCTAACCTTCTTAAACACACTCACAGGAAAGTATGCATGCTTTCTTACCTAATTCACGGGTATGAGTCTCTGAAATCTCTCCTTGAATGACATGATTATGCATCATGGCGACCAGGCCTGTGTCTCCCGGACTTTACTTGTTTTCGAGCCATTTACTTAAGGCTCACAGCAGGCCATTGGGACGTTGCTTCCATTATCCCTGTGATTGAACTTCAGCTGCGCCGTCTTCAGACGCAGTCTACTCTATCCAACGGAGGTAAAGTTTCTTCGGCATCAGGAAGCTGTCGCATGTGCGAACCAATCCCAGACATTCATTTGAGGCCCGAAATCCTCCAAAGACAGCCTGTATGGAACAATTGAGCACTCAAGCCTATCATTGTTATACGGTCAAAATCTTGTCATAGAATACGTGTCTCGACAGCGAAAAAATGAGGAATGCAGTCTTCCGAAAGCTTGGTGACTGACTTTAGACATTGACCACTGCAGTTTTCCTCCTAAGTTGATGAGTCTTCTCAAATCTTCTCTTTACCAAGAACTCCTCAGGGCAGTCAGTGCTTCGGGGAATTGTCCGTTTGCCTGCCATCACTGCCTTCTCTATTCTACGGGTCAATCGCAACTTACTCAGAGAAGTTCAGAGTTGATCGCAGTTCTGAGCCGTGGAACCGTTGACGGAGCAGGGGCCCATTCCCCAGAGGTTATTATGAAGGCCTGCATCTGCCCCAGACAAAGCAACCTCTGCTGGTGTGTGGCCTGTGGAAGGGGCGGGGGTGGTTCATTGTCATCGCGGAGATCTTAATAGTTGGAGCAGACGCGTAATGCCC